TTACTTAAAGTGACTGCTCCACAACTGCTCCCAAACAAAATAAAGGTAATTCTAAATTTAACCCCTAGGTGTCGGGGAGCGTGATCACGCTCCTCCTGTCTTTCGCCAAAAGTGCCGGGAGCGCTATTCAAATTTTTTTTTCTACTAGTATTTTATAATACAATCAGCAAACAATATATGTCAAAGATGAAAACAAATGTAGTAAAGGTTTCCTTAAGTTTTTGAATATGTAACTTCATTTACTTGCGATTCATAATTTTTTTCCTAAACTGCTGTAAAATCAGCAAAAATGCCTTGGAATTTTAGCATCGTTCCTAGGATATTGGTTGGCACTCAAAGGGTTAAATGCAAGTACGCTTTCATTGTAGAAACCCACCATTGGCTTTCTGATGTGTAAGAGAAAAAAAATTTCAGTGTTGAGAATATTAAAAGATCTTAAAGGAGATCCATAACAAAACTAAGATAGGAAATACAAACTAAGAACCCACTTGTTACTGCATAAAATTCAGGAAAGTCACCATTATCACAAAAGTCTGCATCTGCTGGACAATCATGAAGAAAAGTTACTTAATTCTTAAAAATGTCTCATGTAACAAAAACAATTTACTAGAGGCCCGGTGCATGAGATTCATGCACGGGGGTGGGGGATCCATCAGCCCGCCTGCGCCCTCTTGCAGTCTGGGACCCCTCAGGGATCAGGCCTACACTGGCAGGCGGACATCCCTCTCGCAGTCCAGGGCTCTCACAGTCTGGGACTCCTCACTTCTTACCGCCCGCCTTTAGCAGGGGTGGGAGAGGCTCCCGCCACCGCTGCTGCGCTTGCCAGTCGTGAGCCCCACTTCTTGTGAGAGTGCACTGACCACCAGGGGGCAGCTCCTGCATTGAGCGCCTGTGCCCTGGTGGTCAGTGTATGTCATAGTGACCGGTCGTTCCACTGTTCGGTCGATTTCATGTTACGCTTTTATTATATAGGATTGTATAAACTTACTTTGTGATAACCCACTGTACCAACTGATAGCATCAGAACTTTTTAAAAATCAGACCTTTAAGCTTGTTTTGTTACTTAGCCATATTTTCATTAGATGCATAACTTTAAAGACAACTATTTCCTTTTGTGCTAAAAATTTAGAAATTACTATAAGTTATTATTGTATGAGCTGTTATTTAAAATGTCAACTGATAAACTAGCAGTGAAGTTCTGATTGTTATGCAACATATACAGGGTGGGTAAAAGTAATTTTACAGTTGTTCATATGAAAAATAATAATAATAATAATACAAGAATAAACTGTTACACATACTCACAACTATAAACCCATTTTTGCCCCACCCTGTACATTACATAAATCTATGAAATAGAATTATTTAAAAATTAAAAAAAAAAAAATCCTTAATTTTATTTCCTTAGTTGTAAAGATGGAAAAAAGACAGACATGAAATGGCAAATTATTTTTGGTTGAAGCAAAAATATGTATTATTTTTTAATATATTTTTTGATTTCAGAGAGGAAGGGAGAGGGAGAGAAATAGAAACATCAATGATGAGAGAGAATCATTGAGTGGCTGCCTCCTGCAACCCCCCACCCCCACTGGGGATCGAGCCCGCAACCCAGGCAAATGCCCTTGACAGGAATCGAACCTGGGACCCTTCAGTCTGCAGGTCGACACTCTATCCACTGAGCCAAACCAGCTAGGGCAAAACAAAAATGTTAATGCATCCATATTTTTGTTTTTCTACAAACTATATTTATTTAATTTGTTAGAAAAAAATTAACTTAAAAAAGACAAAAAAAGGTGAATGTAGCTTTTCTTTTTTCAAGAAATTCATATTACTTCCTGACTTTGTCTCCCAATGAACACTGTGGTTGATTTAAAATCTATACAGTTGCTGCCCTGGTCAGTGTGGCTCAGTTGGTTGAAGCACTGTCCCGTGCATATGGATTGTGGGTTGTGGATCTGATTACTGATCAGGGCACATACCCGGGTTGTAGGTTCAATCCCTGACTGGGGCACGTGTGGGAGGCAACCGATCGATGTTTCTCTCTCTCTCTCTTTTTCTCTCTCTCTCTTCCTCTCTAAAATCAATAAAAAATATATCCTCGGGTGAAGATTTAAAAAAATGTCTATTATATAATGTTATGTTCATTATTTCTTTAGGACACCTGATTGCATTCCCAAATTTCAATTCTGAGATGATAGTACAAGACATTGTTTTTCTCCTTAATTTGAGTCCTTATCATTTATCAGAAGTTTTCATTTATCATAAGTTACACTGTAGGTTTTAAGTTGATATTCTAATATTCCTAAATATTTAATGAAGACTTGAAAAAATCAATTTTTCATCTGCAATTTGAATATAAATTTCAAAATACTATGGTAAAAATGGATGTAAAAGTCTGAAGGGAATTGATTTTCCCAGAACCTAACAGCTATCTGATCAATGAAACATTACAATTATCTCTAAGCCTTTTATTAGATATCTAGCAGGTAACTTCTGCATTGAGAGACAGCTTAGAATGAGACACATATATCACTAAGCTTTGACTGTTTATTACTAGTAAGTTTCTAGTAGGCTACTTATAAATGGATAGGTAGCACAGTGTGAAGCAGATCTATGTTTTAATCTTGATTCCATTATTTACTGGCAATGTGTTCTTAAGTTGGTTTCTGTAATCTCTCTGTGACTTTATCTGTCAAGTAAGGAAAATGTAACTAGCTCATTGTATTACCCAAGGTAAGTAAGATAACACAGTTAACCCTTGAACAATGTGGGAATTAGAGGTGCCGACCCCCAAGTAGCTAAAAATCTGTGTATAACTTTTTACTCTCTCCAAACTTAACTACTATTAGCCTATTGTTGATTAGAAGCCTTACCAATAATATAAACAGTCAGTTAACACATATTTTGTAGGTTAAATTTATTATATACTGTATCCTTTACAATAAAGTAAGCTAGAGAAAATAAAATACTATTAAGAAAATCATGCCTGGCCAGTGTGCCTCAGTGGTTGAGCATTGACCTATGAACCAGGAGGTCATGGTTTGATTCTCAGTCAGGGCACATGCCGGGTTGCAGGCTCAATCCCCAGTAAGGGAGTATGCAGGAGGTAGTCAATCAATGATTCTCTCTCATCATTGATATTTCTATCTTTCTCCTTCTCCCTTTTTCTCTGGAATCAATAAAAATATATTTAAAAAATACCCGAAAATCATAAGCGAAAATACATTTACAGTATTTATCAAAAAAATTCCCTGTATAAGTGGACCCATGCATTTCAAACCAGTGTTGTCCAAGAGTCAATGTAATACATACAATTGTTAGCACAGTGCCTGGCACACAGAAATGGTTCTTTGGACACATATTCTGAGAAATGGCAATGTATCCTTTTTTTCCCCCCCCCAGTTCTTTAGAAGTACAGACTAAATGCTTCCTTTAATTCAAACATTTTGCTAGGTATATTTATGAACCACAAAGAGAGGCAGGGGGGAACAATACCATTCACAAAAATGATAAAGGCCAATACAGAAGTTGTAAGTTAACATTTTGAACTACTGTGGTACATATTATATTGCATTTATTTGTAGAATAAGGCTATAAGCCAATAAATGTATTTTTACAAAAAATGGATATAAAGTAATGATCAATTTAATGTGTCTGGCTACTGAAAATTACTAAAACTAAAATAATATAGACGTTCAAAATGGTGATCATTTTCAACTTGACTTATTTAGTAGTAGGGCACAATTTTTCTTAAAAATGTATTTTAAATTTACAAGGAAGATTTTAGGACAAATTTTAAAATAGAGGCAAGTTTATTTTACATCTTTGAGCGTAATTATTAGAGCAAAACCTACATTATAAACATTATAAAATCAATTATACCTTGAGTAGTTCAATATTAAACTTCTATTTGGACAGAGTTAAGAATAGAATAGTGGAACAGAATGCATACGACAATCACTCTAGAGGGAAACTAGGAATGGCCAAATTTCTAACAGATTTGCATTATATATTCTGTACAAAACCCTGGACAGAATTGAGACTAATCTTTGTTACTCATTCTCTCCCAGAGGAACTACAGACATTTTTTCCCAGAAGAGAGAAGACAAGAAAAAGGTTTTTGAAAAAAGTATTTTATTTTTTTATGGAACGGTAAACACATGGATTAAGACTGAACTTACTACACCTCCTATAAACAGGGCACTAAACAACAGCCATGTAATTAATTCACTCAGTTATTATTTCCAGGCACTGTACTAGCGACAAACAAGAAAACACTTTGGTATAAAGCACACACATACCTTCATAGGTTTCAGGAGGTAATAAAATCAGTAATTCATAAAGCCTTTGTCTATAAACTACTGATGGTGTTTTCAAAGGACTTCCATATGTTTTTATTATTGAAGAAAGCCTTAAAAGAGAAAGTATATCTTACATGTGTAACTTATATAACAATGTACAAATATTGAACAGGTTGGCATATACACATAAAACAGCTATACACAGTATTAGTGAACATTACTGTTACTTTTATTTATTTATTTTACTAAGGTGTGATTACAAATGTCACACATGGAAATCATTCTGCCATCTTTTCTATCATACTTCATAAAACAAAACTATATACATTCAGCTTAGAGTTCTAAGAACATATTTTGTTGAGAAAATAAAACTATTAACTAAATTCCGAAATTTATAACATGGCATTTGTAAACACTAAAATCTATTATGGTAGAAAAGGAATCAGCCGAAGAAGCAAAGAGAGAAAAAAATAACTAGAAAACAATCCAAGTGTTTATTAGAAACTTGATCTAGAATATCATCAAATTGAATCATAAAAATATGCAAAATCATAAACCAAATTCTCTTTTATAAAGCACAAGCTGAGCCAGTGTTTCTCCAATAGTTATATTCACAAAATTTCTTATCACTTTCTTTCTTCACACTCTTAACTTTCATCTATTCTTCTTTATCTTCTGTTTTTTTCTCATTATTGCTATTAAGACAGTTTACTATAAGGTTCACTCATCTAACAAGTGAACCTTATTAAAGAATTGCTACTCGTTGCAAAGTACCATTTTATCAACTGGTTTTCATCTCTTTTAGCAACACAGAAATTCAATGGGATCACTTTTATTGTTATGCCAGAATAAGTCAACTAAACGGTCATGGCATGAGGTTTTCAGGCACTCTAAGAAATTCTGGCAATGTTCATTTATTTGGATGTTCTAGAAAACTACTGCTTGCTATTCTAGTTATTCATATTAACACATATCACTCCGAATACAACAATAAATTCCCGATGAATTAAAGACTTAAATGTGAAAGATAAAACCTTAAACATTTTAGAGGAAATATAAAAACGTATCTTCATAACTATGAAGTAGGAAGATTTTAAAAATCAAAAGTAGGTGTGTTCTCCCTCTTAGGAGCATGTCCACACCTTTCTCCCCACTCAGGAATGCATTTCCTAAACTCAAGGGTCCCCACCAGATTTGCAACTAGGGGAGCAATGAGCAGTGGCAGCTCGCTTTGGGCTAACCCCCTGAACCTGTCTCCAAGGCCTCCCAGTGAGCCAAAGCAGCCCACCTAAGCTCTCTCCTGTTCCTTCTTTTATCCTAAGCCCTTCCTTGCTTCACTGTCCCAGCTTTAATAAACGTACTCTCAAAATAAAAAAGACAAAAAGTAAATGATTGATACATCTGACATTTAAATTAAGAAGGTCTGTTAATCAAAAAACCATTTTTATCTAAAAATAGGTAAAGGCATACATAAATAGGGATTTCATAGAAGGGGGTACACTGAGGATCAATAAGTATATAAAAAGACACAACCATCAGGAATCAGATATATAAAAGTCATAATGAGATAGATACCAATTTATACCTACTCAATGGGCTAAAACTGATGTCTGATAAGTGTTGGTCAAGAAGTGAATACTATTTATAGAAATACACAAGAATTTTAGAAAATATTTTGGCTATTTTACTGACAGGAGATAAGTAAAATGCTGGGTATTCACATAATTAAATATTATACAGCAATAAAAATGAAGAAATTTGCGCATAAATGAAATTTAGAAACATAATGTTGTGTAAAAAAAAAAATTAAGTCTCAGGCCCTTGCCAGCATGGCTCAGTGGTGTCGACCTATGAACCAGGAGGTCATGGTTTGATTCCTGGTCAGTGCACATGCCCAGATTGTGGGCTCGATCCCCAGTGTGGGGCATGCAGGAGGCAGCCAATCAATGATTCTCTCTCATCATTGATGTTTATATCTCTCTCCCCCCCTCTGAAATCAATAAAAATATATTTTAAAAAAATTAAGTCTCAGAAAAAGCATGCCACGTGCTGAACCAAAACCAAGCAAAATTAAACCATGTGCTGTTTAGGGAAAAATACACGTGATACATTTTTTAAAAATGCAGGGAATGACATCTATAAAATTCATGATAGTGGGTATCTTTAAAGGAAGGCATAAAAAATGGTAGTAGAGTGGAGCACACAGATAACTTCAACAGTATTGTTAATGTTCCAGAGTTCAGGGATAGCTGAATCTGACCCACTACCTGTTTCTGTAAAGTTTTATTGAAACATAGCCACATTGATTAATTTACAGATTATCTATGTGTGCTTTTGAGCTGAAACAACAGAGCTGATTAGGTATAATAGAGACTATCTGGCCCTTACACCACACATTTGCTAACCCCGCTCTAGAAGTGAATTCATGGTGTTCATTTTATTATCTATAATAATAAAAGCATAATATGCTAATTAGACCAGACGTCCTTCTGGACGACCTTCTGGAAAAAGCCGGGGCTGCAAGGGAAGCCTGGGTCCCGGGTGCCAGAGGGAAGCCGGTGCCGGCAGCTGGAGGAAGGAAGGTCTACTCTTGCATGAATTTCATGCACTGGGCCCCTAGTGCTTTATAAACCACATCTTAAATATATTTTTCTGTATACATATAAGATTATATCATTAAGTACATTTGAAAGACTTTCTCTAAACTACACATTTCATTAATTTGGAAATTACAGATGCTTGTGACATAAACTAGATTTTCTCTATGTTTTATTATAAGTCAGACATATGAAAAATATAAACAAAAAACACTGAAGCTGTTAACAAGCACCTGGTTCTTATGAACACAGAAAAGTACTAACCAATAAAATGCATACCTGAAAAGGTTAACAGGCTTCATATTTAATTTTTTGGGTAAATCTAACTGTATAGAAATACACTATCCAACAAGAAATTTTCCTTCCTTTTTAATATATTTATTTTTTTCAAGACCCTAACCCTGTGGTCGGCAAACTGCGGCTCACGAGCCACATGTGGCTCTTTGGCCCCTTGAGTGTGGCTCTTCCTAAGCCTTAGGAGTACCCTAATTAAGTTAATAACAATGTACCTACCTATATAGTTTGAGTTTAAAAAATTTGGCTCTCAAAAGAAATTTCAACCGTTGTACTATTGATATTTGGCTCTGTTGACTAATGAGTTTGCCGACCACTGCCCTAGACTAATAAGAAACAATCACATAACTAAATATTTGCCTTCCTCTGCAAAAGGAAAATCATTCGCCGATCATAGAAACTGGCCTTATTATTGCACTTAAAAGGTATTATGTAATCAGAGGGTAACTGACTGCTATTAAATTTTTTAAAAATCATATCTAACCAGCAGATCCTTACCGAGTTAGCAAATCCACAGCACAAGGAAGCGGTGGAAGAAGACGCTGAATTACTTCCTCTGTAAGGAGATCGCCACAGTGGGAAACAAAGCTCTTGATAGCTGAAAGGCAGAACAGACTTTTACTTGGCAGAATGTAATGAACTATGAAAAAAGCATTCAATTATGCTATAGTGTTTGCATTTTTATTAGAGGAATAAATAAATGTGTTAAAAACAAACAAAAATTCTTGAAACTCTAGTATAAAAAGAAAGCTAATGTCTTCTATTTCTAACCAAACTAAAATCAAGCTTCCTCAAATTAATAACAGAGGCCTCTAACCAAGTTAACAAAATGTTTCTTTCCTGGGTTTTACTCAGATCTCAGAAGTAGAAGAATAAATTAGCGAAGACCCTAAAGTTTGCCAGTTCTATACTAATTCTGTAGGACAATGCTACTTTTGAGTCAGCATGTTAGGTTTTTGTAAATGTTACCTGAAACACATGTTTTATAAGGAGTTAATTTCATATATAGAATAAAATAAATATTTTAAAGTTAGGCTGAGTTTCAAGATTAATTTCAAAATTGGTTTTCCATTCTTAAGAGTAAAAAAAACACCATGAATAAACAAACAAAACCAAATCAGTGCTTTCATTTCTTTTCAGGGATCCCACCCTTCCTTAGTTTAAGTTTTCATAGTGAATACTATTTTAATGGCCTATATATTATAAAGGGTACAACTTTATATATAAAAAAAACTAAATGGAAACATGCTTAATTAACACTAATTAAATCCAACCCTCGTGTTTCTGAAAAAAGGAATGAATGCCTACTTAAGGAAAAGCAATCTTGACATTTCTCAACTGGAGTGCATCTAATAAAACATGTGTTATCCTAAGGATCAGAACTCTTAAATTTGGTTTATTACATCTACTTCTGTTATAATCACTAACTGGATATACTAGTAATCAATTATATTCGATTACCCCCCCTCCCCCTCAAAAAAAAACCACACCAGAAAAATGTTATTTCCCTCTAAAATTAAGTAAAATATACAAGTGTGTGTAAAGTTAAGGAGTGGGGAAAAGCCAAAGAAAGGGAGCAAAAAGACTAAACTCAACCTACCACAGAGTGCACCAGCTCGTCCTTCTAAGGTTACCTGCCATGTAAAGGAATCTCCTCGGCTCTTTTCTGTTTCTAGGTCCTTAGGAGACACTGGAAAGACACACTTCCACAACAGCAGGACTCGAGCAAGGTGATGACTGACAACAGCAGGACCTGTAATTTATTCAACTTGTCACTTATAAAAGAATGCAAAGTGGCTGCTCTTTAAAAATCTATTAATAAACATATTTTAACACCCTCCTGCAATACTATGTCCCTTTTCTTACATTCTGGTTCCAATTAATGTACTATTGATTGAATTATTATCTGAAGGTACTGAGTAGAGAGAAAAAACAAGGAACTAACAAGTTAAGTCTGGGTTCCAGTGTCAGCTCTCTCACTACTGCTATGACCTATGAGACTCAGTTTCTTATATCCATAAAATGAAGCCAGTACCCCTTGTACTGTTTGTCTGATCTAAATGATAGCGCCCTTTAAAGTAGTCTGAAAAACTGTGATGTACCATGTAAATGCAAGATAATACTGTTTTGGTTAACAAATAACATTGTATCCTGAGAGTAATGCTAACTTTTGATAGCAACCTATTCCAGGCCAAAATTCAGATGTAATACATCTAAATGAAATTAAAAAAAAAAAAAAGATTTCAGAGCAACATCCTTATGAACTAAGGAATCATGAATACACAAAGCCAGTAATGAAAGGCAACATACAATGAAAATATTTTATTTGCCACCATTTTCAGTTAAGAAAAATGTAAAAAAAAGTATCAAAACCTACAGCTTTTCTCTCCAAGTAATTTTCTTTAAAATTCTGAGGTTATCTCAAAATTCTCCTATAAGTACTTGTTATTTCTAATTCCTGTGCTGGGCTGACTGTATGTTTTCCTTTTGCAGTATAGCAGCATAGCAAAGAACTGCACTGAACTCTGGAATGAGAACACAGGTTAACATCCTGACTCCATCCACTTGTTGTGTAAACTTGGTTAAGTTACTCAACCATTTTCTGCCTCAATTTCCTCATCTATAAAAGGGGATTACGATAGTATTTACCTCACTGGACAGTTTCTGAGACTTACAAGAGTTTATATAGAAGTGTCTGACTCACGATAAGCATTTACATAATGGTTGACATTACGCAATTATCATTAAAAAATTATCTCATTTACATATGAAGAAGTGAGCTGTATGGTAAAAGGAACGGGTATTTGCAAACCAATCTTTTTTTAATGCATGCAATTTACTAGATTAAAATATAATTAATTTTCCATTTTTTCTTCTAATTTGCTTTTTAGAAAGAGGCCATTGTTAATTCAAAGCAAGATGAATTCAACACTCTTTGCTCACTACTTTCGTTGATGAAATAGTACTAAAAAAACTCAAAAAACCTAGAATTGGAATAAAAAAAGGAAATCAGAGTAAAGTAATTAAGAATAAATGACTGTAAGAGGTTTGTGTGTGTGAATGCCATGTGTGCACATCAGCCCACTCATATACCACGGGCTATGGGGGTAGAGAAAATTCTAAAAGTACAATTTAGTTATATACAATAAAAGCATGGAGTCACTGGGAATGCCCATAGCTGACAAAAGTTTCCTAAGTATTTGCTATTATACTAATACTAGAGGCCTGGTGCACAAGATTCATGCACTTGGGGAGAGGGGGGTTCCTCAGCCCAGCCTGCGCCCTCTCACAGTCCAGAAGCCCTCGGGGGATGTCCTACTGACGACTTAGGGGGATGTCCTAAGCTAGAGGTCGGACATCCTTAGCGCTGCCGCAGCTGTGCTCACCAGCCATGAGCCTGGTTTCTCACCAGGGAACAGCTCCTGCATTAAGCGTCTGCCCCCTGGTGGTCGGTGCGCGTCACAGTGACCAGTCGTTCTGCCGTTTGGTCAATTTGCACATTATCCTTTTATTATATAGAAAGGAGGATATCTCATTAACTCCATAGTGAACAATGTAGCATTTCTTTCCTAGAGGTATCAATATGTTATCATCCCATGCAAGAAGAGGTTAACAGTTTGATTCCTGGTCAGGGCACATGCCCAGATTATGGGCTTGATCCCCACTAGAGGTATGTAGGAGGCAGCCAATCTATGTTTCTCTCATCTATGTTTCTCATTCTCTCTCTCTCTTCCTTCTTCTCTTTCTAAAATCAATAAAAACATATATATAAAGAAATAAAGACTGCAATGGGTTGAAACACATCCCATATAATAAAAGGCTAATATGCAAATAAACCGAATGTCGGAACGACCGGTCGCAATGATGCGCACTGACCACCAGGGGTCAGACGCTCAATGCAGGAGCTGCCCTCTGGTGGTCAGTGCACTCCCACAGGGGGAGTGCCGCTCAGCCAGAAGCCCTGAGCCGGGCTCACTGGCAAGCACAGCTCGTGGCGCTGTACATCCCCCCAGCATGGCAGCTGGACATCCCCCAAGGGCTCCCGGACTGTGAGAGGGCGCAGGCCAGGCTGAGGGATCCGCCCCTCCCCCCGCCCCCAGCGCACAAATGTCATGCACCGGGCCTCGGGTAAATATATAAAAATCTATGATGATAGATTCATAATGATACTTAACAGCAAAAGCCTCACTGATTCCCTTTGAAATTTGCTAGGATACTAGCAACACATTCTAAAAATCCTATACAATAAAAGAGAAACATGCAAATTAGCCGTCCCTCCACTACGCACAAGCCACACCCACAAGCCATGCCCACCAGCCGATCAGAGTGACTATGCAAATCAACCCAACAAAGATGGTGCTTAATTTACATACGCAGGTGTCAGGCGCCCCAGGAGGCAATGGTGCCTGCAGCCACAGGCTCCCAGGACCTTTGCCAGTCCGGCAGGCAAGGCTGTCCGCGCCTAGCCACACCCGTGGGCTCCTGGGACCTTCGCAGGCCTGGGAGGCGAGGCCATAGCCATGCCCGTGGGCTCCCAGGACCTTCGCCGGTCCAGGAGGTGAGGTCGCCCGTGCCTAGCCATGCCCACAGGCTCCTGGGACCTTGCCGGAGAGCGGGAGGTTTGGAGGACTTGGCAGAGCAGGAGACTGCTGGACATAGAGCAGAGCGAGAGAGAGGGCAGCTTGGAGGTCGTGGCTCCCTCTGACACCCCAGCCTCCTCATCACAGCTGTGGAAACTGACAGCAGGGAGGAGGAAGTCCCACTCCCACAGAATCAGCCAGAATCAGCCTTTGGTCAGACAGCTCTCAGTGGCCTGACAGCCAGGACTCTCATTCACTGCATCTCAGAACGTGACAGTAGAGAGGTGGGACTATGTCTAAAGCACAACTGTGGATACAATGTAGCTCTGCAGCCGAAAGATGCTGGAGTCATCGACAGAAAATGTCTAAAGACCAACGTGCCTTTGAAGTTGAAAGAAGGCAGTGGCGACGACGACGACAGAATATGTCTAGAGAACAGTCACCAACAAGTACTACCAATACCAATAGGAACTGCCTTCTCGGTGAAAATGGAGTACATGAGGATGCAATCCTCGAACATAGTTGTGGTGGAATGACTGTTCCATGTGAATTTTGCCTATCCCTAAATTTCTCGGATGAAAAACCATCCGATGGGAAATTTACTCGATGTTGTAGCAAAGGGAAAGTCTTCCCAAATGATATACATTTTTCAGATTATCCAGCATATTTAAAAAGATTAATGACAAACGAAGATGCTGACAGTAAAAATTTCATGAAAAATATTCGTTCCATAAATAGTTCTTTTGCTTTTGCTTCCATGGTTGCAAATATTGCATCACCATCAGGATATGGGCCATACTGTTTTAGAATACACGGACAAGTTTATCACCGTACTGGAACTTTTCATCCTTCGGATGGTGTTTCTCAGAAGTTTGCTCAACTCTATATTTTAGAGCTTAGCAATGCCAGAAAACCAGGGCTGCTCAGAAAGACTCATGATCAACAAACTCATGCATGACATAAATGAATTAACAAAATCGTACAAAATGCTACATGAGGTAGAAAAGGAAGTCCAACCTGAAGCAGCAGCAAAAGGTATTGCTCCCATAGAAGTAACAACGGCAATTAAATACGATCGTAACAGTGACCCGGGTAGATATAATTCTCCCCATGTAACCAAGGTTGCTGTCATATTCAGAAACGAAGATGGAGAACCTCCTTTTGAAAGGGACTTGCTCATTCATTGTAAACCAGATCCCAATAATCCAAATGCAACTAAAATGAAACAAATCAATATCCTGTTTCTTACATTAGATGCAATGACATATCCTATTCTTTTTCCACATGGTGAAAAAGGCTGGGGAACAGGTATTGTATTAAGACTCAGAGACAACAGTGTAATCGACAATAATACTAGGCAAAATGTAAGGACATGAGTCACACAAATGCAGTATTATGGATTTCATCTCTCTGTGTGGGCCATGTTCAATCCTATTTTAAACGTAGGAAAATCAACTCAACAGTTTATCGTGGATTTGTATTCAAAAATGGAGGCCAATTGGATAAATTTCATCAAAGTAAACCAATCTAAGTTGAAAAATATAGTGGTTTGATGGATTATCTCAAATCTGATCTGAAAATGACAATGTGCCGATTGGTAAAATGATAATACTTCCATCATCTTTATATATATATATATTTTAATTGATTTCAGAGAGGAAGGAAGAGAGAGATAGAAACATCCATGATGAGAGAGAATCATGGATTGGCTGCCTCCCGCAAGTTCCCCGTGGGGTTCGAGCCCACAACCTGGGCACGTGCCCTTGACCAGAATCGAACCTGGGACCTTTCAGTTTGCAGGCCAACGCTCTATCCACTGAGCCAAACCGGCTAGGGCACTTCCATCATCTTTTAAGGGTAGTCCCAGAAATATGCAGCAGCAATATCAGGATGCTATG